ACTGTGGGCCAATCACCAGGAGACTGGGAGTTCTAGTCCCGCCTTATCCATGAAAGCCAAATGGGTGACTTTGGGCCAATCACCAGGAGACTGGGAGTTCTAGTCCCGCCTTAGCCATGAAAGCCAAATGGGTGGCTTTGGGCCAATCACCAGGAGACTGGGAGTTCTAGTCCTGCCTTATCTATGAAAGCCAAATGGGTGGCTTTGGGCCAATCACCAGGAGACTGGGAGTTCTAGTCCTGCCTTAGCCGTGAAAGCAGCTGGGCCAATCACCAGGAGATTGGGAGTTCTAGTCCCACCTTATCCGTGAAAGCCAGCTGGGTGACTGTGGGCCAATCACCAGGAGACTGGGAGTTCTAGTCCCGCCTTATCCATGAAAGCCAGTTGGGTGACTTTGGGCCAATCACCCTCTCTCAGCCCCACCCACCTCACAAGGTTATTGTTGCTGTTGTGGGGAACATAGGAAGAAAAATGTGTGTCGGACATATTTGCTGAACTGAGTGATTTGCAGAAATAATAAAGGCAGGGAATAAATGAATAAAAGAAAACGTATGGAAAAAGGATACAATGATATTCCAAGGCCCAAGCCTTAACCAGTTGGGCCAGAATCCTTTGTACAAGGCGAAAAAACCTTCGTTCTTCCAGGTCTACAAAAAATAAAGAGAAAAACCTCTGAATATTCCATAATCCACGCTCGGCGCAGGAGACGCCGTCTCTCTCTCCCTCTCTGCAAACAGAAGCACCTCCCATCCCGTCCCGTAATCACAGACGAAGGACGGAGGAAGACTGGATGGTGGGCCTTGCACTAACGGTCAAGAGTCTCCCTTCAAAGACAGCTGGCCAGGGGGTCTACAAGCCGGCCCCATCAGAAGGTGGGGATCTCCTGCTGAAAAGTTCTCCGCAAATTAATTCCTAGGAAAGAACTAGCCTGAAATCAGGGACCATCTGCAGCTTCAGCCTCTTTGCGCACAAGGGAGGGACGTCTTCCCCACCAAGTTTAATCCTTACGAGTTGACACCGAGGTCTGGAGAGGCTTTTTCCAACAGAGAACTGAATTCTGATTTAAAACAAAAGCAGGAATCTTCTCCTTCCCCTTACAGGCACCAAGGATGGAGGCAAAGAGAGTCTAAAGCAGGGGTAGTCAACCTTGGCTCTTTTATGACTGGTGGACTTCAACTCCCAGAATTCCTGAGCCAGCCATGCTGAGGGGAAAGGGAGAGGTTTCCAAGCTGAGCCATGCTGGCTCAGGAATTCTGGGAGTTGAAGTCCACAAGCCATGAGGGGGGCCATAGTTCCCCCATGCTGGCTCAGGAATTCTGGGAGTTGAAGTCCACGAGTCATGAAGGGGCCTAGGCCAGGGGTAGGCCACCTTGGCTCTTTTATGACTGGTGGACTTCAACTCCCAGAATTCCTGAGCCAGCCATGCTGAGGGGAAAGGGAGAGGTTTCCAAGCTGAGCCAGGCTGGCTCAGGAATTCTGGGAGTTGAAGTCCACGAGTCATGAGGGGG